CCGGGGGCTTAAGTGGAGAGAAATATTTTGAGAATGATGAGGGCAATGAATGTACAAATGTGCTTTACACAATTGATGTATGTATGGAATGTGATAAGAGTTGTATGAGCCCCTAATAAAATGATTGGGAAAAAAAATCTCATTGTGCCTGATATTGCCATTAATCAGGGGCTGATTTGTAACCAAATGATAGTTAGCAACCAAAATGATAGTTTTCTTTCTTGTATTTACCCTTATTTCTTAAACTACTAAAATTGTCATGTTCAAAATGAAAGTAAAAATTATTTGTAAGAAGCTAACTGTACTCACTTATTTAAGGTTAACCTTTAACATTAAACTTATGAGTTACATAATTATATACAGTAGTCCTAATTTCCATGTAACATGCTCACCAAGTCCAAAGAAAAATGGCCCCAAAGCTCCTACTCTACGCCAAGCCTTCTCTTTAAAAGGTTCTCAAATATATCAAATTGTAGGATTTAGAAACGGATTTTGAGAAGTGTATACTTGCATATGCTTAATAATTCATTCTACTACTTATCAAATGCTACATTTGCAGGCCCCACAAGAGCCAATTGTCTTTCCCAAAGATTCCTTTGACTTTTGAACCTGTATCTTCAAATGCCACCTAAGAATCCCTAGTAACTAAAGTCAAATGCTACTCATCTGAATGTTTGGCTTGATGATATTTTGTCAAGTTCTCTTCACTCACACTAATACAATCTTGGGTCAAGGTTTTCCAAGAAAGATGAAGTGATTATATTAAAAGGCAAGGGTTATTCTCCATCTGAAGATCTGGGGAAAGGAGAATGAGGCCCACGTTGCCTTAAGACAGTAAGTACAGCCTTCAGAAGCCCTCCCTGGGTCTACTGTGACCTCAGGAAATCCCGGATGGACAGGCACTTCTAGTTTGTGACTAGCAAAAATAATCTTTACTCTGTAGGAACTAGTATCCAAATTCACATCCTAAGGCTTTTTAAAGCTTATCCAGAATCCTAAGAAGATTCTTTTGCAGTGTCCCTACTGAGACTGGCCTCAGGAATGCTCTGAATTAAACAGCCCAGCAGATCACTGCTGTTTCCTTTGTCTCATTTTACTATCCAAATACCGCTGATACTACCGGGACATTTACTAGTGTCCCACTGCACAATTCTAATAAAAATAGAGAAGTGCCAGCTGTTCTACTAAATAATTCAAATTCCTGTTTTTATGGTTTGTACATCTCATAATCAAAACAAAGGTATACGGCAGGGGTCCTCAAACTTTTTAAACAGGAGGCCAGTTCACTGTCCCTCAGACCCGTTGGAGAGCCGGACTATAGTTAAAAAAAAAAAACTATGAACAAATTCCTGTGCACACTGCACGTCTTATTTTGAAGTAAAAAAACAAACAGGGCGAAAACACCCGGCGGGACAGATAAATGTCCTGGGCGGCCGCATGGGGCCCACGGCCGTAGTTTGAGGACCCCTGGTATACAGAATAGCTTATACTTTACGAAAAGTTTATTGGTGTGCTTCTAAAATATTGGTTTTGTTAATTACTACTTACTCTAGTTTGGATCTAAGTACAACGTCAGATTACTCCTCTAGCCTCCTGATTTTGTCAATGAACTTTGCTGGTCTGAACTAAGGGGAATACAGTAAACATAGTAAATTTCCCTTAGCATCAGTTTGGGTTTGAACCATGTGACTATATGTACCAATTTTTTATCTACCAGGTCAAACTGTCCTAAAGGCTTTTTTTAAAAGGGAGCTGACAAGATTTTAATTCAAGTTATCGATGCCCTGGTAGTGCAGTGGGCTAAGTATCACACAGCTAACTGCAAGATTGACAGGTCAAACCCATCAGCTGCTCTGCAGGAAAAGACAAGGCTCTCTACGCCTATTCAGATTGGCAGTCTCTGAAACCTTATGGGGTAGTTCTACTCTCTCCTAAATGTTTGCTATGTGCCAGAAGGGACTCAAGGACACGGCTTGGGTTTTGTTTTTAATGAAAGTTAGAAAATATGTCAAAAATCACCTTTTACTTTTCTATACACTCAGAGAATGTCTTATAGACCAGTTATTTAAAGGATGAGTCTATTCCCAAAACAATGACTTTAGGGTGGGAAACTTCAGAGTGTAAGCCAAGAGGAAAATACAACCTGACCTAATGAATCCAGCAGAATGACTCAGGGTAAGAGGGTGAGCTTACATGAGAATCTGGCAAGAAGACACTGGATGAATTACGTTTTGTTAAAAGTTTGATGTAATTGTCGGCTGCCATATCAGATTAATGTCTGGAGTAATATCTCTGCAAATAGTATTAAGTTTTCTGGCTATCAAAAAAAGGGCAGTCTTCCGTAACAGTCATAGACTATTGCTTTTTACGAACAATACCTGGTAAGTAATTCGGAATCAAGTCCAGCTTTGTAATGCTAGGACCATACCAACTGTGCCCTGTCCATAACTATCAAATACTTATTCCTGGTCAGATGATTGATTCCCAAGAATTTGGAAATGATGTGTTCGTACTTAGGGGAGTGCAAGCTGGGTGATGGGATGTGAAGGTATTCTCTTCAAAGGGCTTTTATTTTCTAATATACATTGTGTATTATCTAACATTCTCACCAAATATTTAATTTTTATAGTCCATCAGTTGCGAACTACTATCAATTTAAAAGCTTACTGCAATTTTAAAAGGTGATAACCTAAGGGAGCTTAATTGATGTGCTTAACTTGTTTCACTGGTAAGTCACTGGTACATCAATTTCTATAGCTTGCTTATGGCCACGTTGCATACGATTCATACAGTAAATGAATGGAGGTGGTCAAAAGGCAAGTTGCAAAGTCCAAGATCTTGAGTATTATCATATCTTCTTTCCAAAATTACATTGGGGGAAAAAAACTAATTTACCCAGATTTTTTTTTTTAAACTCTAAGACTATTCAACATTTGGTCATAAATGTAACGAAACTAAGTTTTAGTAATCAATTACAGAAGGTATTCCCCCAATTTTTTACCAAGTTAGGAATAGAAAGAGGAGGAAAACAGTTGAGTAGAGAGGTAGACAACAAGGGGAGAGGCAGAGCAGTTAGAGAAGGGAAGACTGTCTGTTAGGGTGAGCGGGAAAAGTAGCCTCGGAGAGCGCCAATGTCCACAGTAATACTGTACCTAACAGCTGGCTGTGCTCCCCTGTGATGGAGTTCTGACTCGGGTCTGAAAAACAAACAATCAGGACCAAAATAAATATAGATATATACTTAAAGTCGGCAACAAAAGTCAACCAAGGACATAAGTAAAAAATTAAATTCCTGTAGACATCAATGAAAAGATAATAAAACACAGACTGAACCAATTTAAAAAAATAAGCAGTGCAATGCTAGTTCCATAAAGTAAACGGATGTGTCCGTGCTTAGGAGTAAGTGTTACATTTTCACTTAATAACAAAGCGTGCAAGGCCTCAACAGCGAAGCAGCAGGACACAAGCACTCCTTACAACTATTACCTGGGTTCGGATTTGGCCGTAAGACAACATGACTAAATTGGCCTTTGTGATAGCGAGTTCTTTAGTAATACCTAGTAAATGTATGGCAATAAGCCAAGTTCTTAATGTAAGAGATTTGACAATCACCATTTAACAAATAACCACTCGCTTGCTTTATAGGCTTGAAAAGCATTAAGGGTCCACATTGATAAGGCCCTGACCTCCACTTTCCTCACAGATTAAATCTCTTGCGACTGCGAGGATGACACTGGGCTTTTCGGAAGAGGAGAAATTTTATATCCTGACTTTTGGTAACCTCTAATTGAAGCGTAGGAGCACAGGTGGCACAGTGGTACAGCACAAAAGGTCGGTGGTTTGAACCCACCCGTCGCTCGCTCCTTGGGAGAAAGATTTGGCAGTCAATTTCCATGAAGATCACAGCCTAAAAAACCTATGTGACAGTTCAATGACGTTCAGCATTATCTTTAATTATGATGTAGGTAACAAGCCATGTGAAAGTACGTGTGATTTTTTTAATTGTTTTATTAGGGGCTCATACGACTCATCACAATCCATACATACATCAATTGTGTACAGCACATTTGTACATTCATTGCCCTCATCATTCTCAAAACATTTGCTCTCCACTTAAGCCCCCAGAATCAGGTCCTCATTTTTCCCCTCCCTCCCCTCTCCCTCATGAGCCCTTGATAATTTATAAATTATTATTTTGTCATATCTTGTCCTGTCCGACGTCTCCCTTCACCCACTTTTCTGTTGTCTGTCCCCAGGGAGGAGGTTACATGTAGATCCTTATAATCAGTTCCCTCTTTCCAACCCACCCTCCCTCTACCCTCCCATCGCCACCCACACCCTGAAGGGATCATCCGCCCTGGATTCCCTGTGTTTCCAGTTCCTACCTGAAAGTATGTGTGATTTTTATCAACAACAACAACAACAAAATCACATTATTTTAATAATACATTGCATGAGGAATGAGCTTGAAAGAGTTCGTGGAAATTTTTCTCTGATCTCTTAATTCCACTTTTCTTTTTCTTAATTCCATTTTTCAATGAATTTTTTGAAGCCTCCTCCTATACTCCTCAAGATTTTGATCCACAGTTGCTGGTGTTAATGGTAATACCTTTTGTAGTTCTCAGGTGTGCTAGAATAAGAACAAAACTAAGACTCTTTAACTGATACGGTAATATTTGTCACTGAGAAAAATTAATGCCTGGATTAATGCGTGGCCAAAGCCTCACCACACTACTGAGAAAAGAGTTAGCGATGCAGTCTTGACAACTTCAGAATCTATCTTCATGTTTCCCAGTACTCTAATTCTAACTTTCTTGTTCTAAAACAAAATACATGCTTAAAAACAAGCTATCTGCGATTGTGAGGGAATGTTACATATTTTCTATAAATAATTTCTATATTTTCTATAAGTAGAAAACATCTCAGATAACAGAGGAATAATAGGTATGGTTTTAAGGAGAAAATATGATTTTTCTTTTAAAATCCATTAACTCCTTGCCTTCTGACATGTCCAGAGAAATAAAACTGCTACCAAGTTGATTCCACTGCATAGAACACCACCCAGACGTGAGGTATTTATGGTTACTGTGCGTCCCCTGGTCAAGTTCGGGCTCTTCCTGTGGGTACCTTCCTATTTCTGAGATAAGGAGAAATCGGTCTTCTGTGCAGTTCTCTACAAGTTCATGTAGAATTTTTTTTTGTTTCCATTTGATCTAATTAAAGGAATGCAGGACAATCTTTATTTAAAGGGTGTTTCTAGGTATGTATGCCAAATTGCATAATCAATGTAAGAGTCATGCTCTGTGATAAGCCTGGACACCTTTCTATTGTCCTCTCTCTGAATTCAACATCTTTCCGTCTATGTCACTGCTGAGGGCACGCGCAGGTTTACCTCAGACTGAACGTTGTCCCACACATTATTCAAAATAACATTTATTTCAACCAGGTTTCTCCCTGGCATAGGAACATTTTCCAGTAATACCTTTGATAGCCTTTATCAGTCAAACTACTCCTGGGTTATAAAATAGCAGGGCTACATTCAGAAGCCTTAGACATATTACTAGTACAATGGTTCAAATAAAAAACAGAAACAAAATGGATGGCTTTTCACAACATGCACTTGTGGATCAGAAAACAAACTGAAAATGTTTCCTTGAAACAGTAAGCACGTTGTAGAAGTTTTACATATAGGCATTTGTTCAATATATTTAATTTACCCTGGGTAAAAGGTGAAAAAAACCAAAGATTTTATTTAGTCTCTTACCATGTGCTTAGGAGAATGGAGAAAGAAAAAATGATTGTGGGTGGTACTCATTTATAAAACTATCTCTGAAAATGGCTTCTTTTTCTGAAGAGCTTATTTACCTTAATCTGCCTACTATTAACAGTCCTTTCCTAAATTTCTTTGGAAATCACATTCTGGGTAAAGAATTTATAGCACATAAAGAGTAATTTTTAAAAAATCATTGTAAAAAAATCATTGTATTGGGGGCCTCTTACAAATCTTAAAACAATCCATCATTCAATAGTATTAAGCACACTTGTACATATGTTGTCATCAACATTTCCAAAACAATTTCTTTCTACTTGAGCCCTTGGTATCAAGTCCTCCTTCCCCCACCCTCCCGCCCTTGTGAATCCTTGATCAATTATTTATTATTATTGCTATTCCATGTAAAGCCTAATCTATCTGGTAACTCAGTGCACAATGTTTTAACTTTTGATTATAGTTAGAATGAGCAATTTCATTAAACAGCACAATAACAGGACCTGTTGCCTAATTTTTAAAATCTAGAAGTATGCATGACCAAGTACACTATAAAATAATTTACATCAAGATACTTGGCCTATTATGCTAGTGGCTATATTATCTAAACATACAACAGAAGTTACCAAATAGCTGTAGTCTTAACCTAATACATTTCTAATTTTCTAGATGCTGACTTAAAACAAACAAACAAACCCAAAGCAGCAGTACCATCCTAAGAAATTATTGACTCACAATGAGGCAAGGTGATTAAAGGAAGAACCTTAACATTCGCATGCATTTATTATATGCTGTCTCTTTATATGGGCAGTGTGGTAGTTACTTAATCTGGTGTCAATTTGGGACTTGGGAGGATTAAGACTGAAGGGGTGGAGTCTAGTCTGTCAATTGGGTCATGGCCAGTGAGGCCTCTGTATGGGCATGGCCTTCTGAGAATTCTGGGGACTCCTGTTTTTCCTCCCTGGAGATGGGAGACACTCTGTCTCTTCTCACTTCCTGAGCATGCATTCTACTGATAAGATACACGGCACTACGCTGACAGACCCCGTGCCCTGGGAACTGGAGAAGTCACGTGAAGAGCCCTGCTAGCACTGAGATGCTTCTACCACCACTGGATCTATAAGACTTTGCGCCCACCGGCCTGTGATCTTCCTGCATTCAGTATCATGGCATGTATTTCATGAGTCTGAAAAGGACTTTATAGATTGGTATCAAACATATGGGCTAATATTGGACTTCTGGACTTAATCTGGAGTGAGGTGGGATGTTTTTCTTAATGTACAGTTATTCTTTATATAAAGCTCATTCTTATACACATATGTGTGTTTATGAATTTATTTCTCTAGTCTACCCAGACTAACACAGGCAGGCTTCTCACCCTGGTGGGAAACCTGAGTAGAGAAAAAACAACGATTTTATACAACAGCATAAAATCGGAATACATTAAGTTATTTGTTGAAATTCTGAACTTACTACAATCTGGAAGATATGTACAAATCACTAATACTGTTAAAATAAGTGAAAACCAGCAATCATTTTTAGGTCACTAAACCATGAAAATGATGGGGAAAAAGGTAACCTAACACATACAGAAAATAAGTAAATCATTAATCTTTTTTTCATTAATTAATTTTTATTGTGGTTAAAATATACACAACAAAACACACACCATTTCAATAATCTCTGTACAATTCAGTGATATTATATTATTGTAATTGCATACTCATTTCTTGCAGTTTCCAAATCATTCCAGCACTATTAATAAACTTATATATCAGTTCTTTATGTTTTCTAGGGTACCTTATAAATAAGAGTCAAACCACTGTTACTTGAATTTTTGATAAATACAACAAAAATATAGTTAAAAAACATTTAGTCTCTTTCAGGTATAAAAAGATACTCTCTGCTGGCATTTATACTATCTGCCTGGTGAGTGATTAGTGTAGGCAGCTGATTATACATCAGAGTACTTTATGTTAATAGCACTGAACCACTGACTGCACCCGAATACAAATGCCAGTTTGCTAAGTCTTGTAAGAACAGGTTAGAAATTAAAGTATCTACCATATTTTTACACAAAAAATGCATGTTATGCTTTTTTTGCAAACTGCACAATCCCCTTACACATTAGGTCTGCGTGTCCCCAGGAAAATGGTTTATAAAGAGCTGTGACAAAGACGAAAATTAAAGAAAAAGCAAATAATTAACCTTCTTCTCCAACCTGGGAACCATACGCTTTTTTTGGTACAATCTTCTGGAGTTGTAAGCTCCATTATATCTCTGCACTAGCTCCCTAGCAGAAGCTCATGACAGTTCTTCCTTTATCTTTCAGGACGGTTTAAGATCTTTTAGCCACTGCTACCAAATCAGACCTTGTGACCTTTTTAGCTATCACCTCATTCCTTTCAAGGTCAGAATGAAAGTGTTCAT